ATGGCCTGCTAGAGGATGGTCATGCTTGAACTGAAGCACTTGAAGGCAGAGATCATCAATGTCAGGGACAAAGATGCAACCATCAAGGTGGAGTAGACCATCAGAGTCCAGGGACCACCAAGGCTTAGTCAGAGTTGGGAGATGGCTGGTGGAGACAGGGTCAGATGGTAGGGTGGAGATGATGTCAGAGTGCAAGCACTCAACATCAAAGACCATGGTGGTGTGGAGCACAGGTGCCATAAGGGTAGTGGTACAGAGGGACAATGTGAGTTGCTCCTGTGTAAACATAGGGTGGAGATTGTGAGGATTTACCTGTGCATAGTCCCTATCCCCCCCTTTTGGGTAGATGTCCCAACATCATGTAAGTGCATTGGGCTTGGCTCCCAGGCAGCCAGGTCAGAAGTGGATGGAAAGGTTAAACTGTGAAAGGTACTCTGACCAGCAGGCCTGTTGATGAGTGAGAACCTTAGAGGTGGAAAAGTACTCAAGGTTTTTGTGGTCTGTCACCACATTGACAGGTAAGGCAGAACCTTCTAGGTAATGCCACCAATGGCAGAAGGCCTTGAAGATAGCCAACAGCACCTTGTCATGGGTATCATAGTTGAGTTCTGGCATGGTCATGGTGTGGGAATAGAAAGCAACTGGGCAGAGTTCACCATCAGAGCAGGTGAGCAACAAAATGCCAGCAATGGCATAGTCAGAGGTGTCAGTTTCAACTGTAAGTGGAGTGTCAGGAATCCAGTGGGTGAGAATAGGAGTGGAGCTGAAGGCATCCTTCAGGCAGAGGAAAGCAGAGTGGCACTCCTCAGAAAAGTTCCAAGGAGCACCCTTTCACATGAGGTGAGTGAGAGGAACAACAATGTCAGAGTAATTATCAATGAATTGTCTATAGAAATTTGCAAATCTGAGGAAGGACTGGATGTTTTGCACCTTCTGTGGCTCAGGCCAGTTGTGGACTGCCTGAACCTTCTTGGCAGAAATGGTGAGACTGGAGGGAGAAAGAATGTAGCCAAGGTACTCAATGGAGTCATAGTGGAACTTCCACTTCTCTGGCTTGGCATAAAGACCATGCTTTTGAAGGCAGTGGAGTACCTCTTTTACATGTTTGCAGTGTGACTCCATGTCCTGCAAATAAATCAGGATGTCATTGAGGTATACCATGATGCAGACATTGGGCATGTTTGCAAAGATGTTATTAATGAATTGCTGGAAAGCTGCAGGCACATTAGTCAGACCAAATGGCATTACCCACCACTTGTAAGAACCATAATGAGTGCAGAAAGCTGTTTTCCATTCATTGCCATCTGCAATGTGGACTAGATGATAGGCATGGTGGAGGTCAAATCTTGGTGTAGACTTTAGCACAGCTTGGAGAGTCAAGCAAGTTGGAGATGAATGGCAGCAGATAGTGATCTTTTTTCATGATTTTATTGAGCCCTTGATAGTCTATGCAGAGGCAGAGTGAACCATCGTTCTTCTTTACAAAGAGGACAGGGGCACCATGAGTGGAGGTGGACTGCTTGATGAAACTGTAGCCAAGATGCTCATCAATGGAGGTGTGGAGAGCTTCAAGCTCTGGTGGAGACAGAGAGTAGGTCATGCCTATGGGTGGAGAAGCTCCTTCCTCAAGGTTGATCTTGAGATTGAATGAGCAGTGTGGCAGAAGTTCAGTACCCTTGTCTTTGCTAAAGATGTCAGCAAACTCACAATACTAGGAGGGACTGAGGAGAGGTCAGGAGGCAGAGAAGAAGCAGAGGATGCATGAAGCTTCACATCATCAGCAGAGGGCTGCAAGCAGAACTGTCTAGAGCCAGGGAGAGCACAGGCTCTGACATACACAGCAGCATTGATGAGTGAGATGAGTGGAGTGGAGTGTGGTAAGTCTGTCAGAGTTGCAGTCAAAGCTGCAGATGGAGCAGGGGGTGTCAGATCCAGAGTGGAGGTCACAGTGGAAGGTGATGAAGCTGCCTGGGGTGTTGGCATTCCCTGTAACAATGGTTTGGATGATATACTGCCCAGTACCCAGTCAATTGATGGATTGAAGTGGGTGAGCCAGTTGTGTCCTAATACCAGTGAACATGAAGAATCCAATGGAGTAACATAAAATGAAATGGAGTTGACATCATCAGAGGGAAAGTGGAGGGAAAGATCTACTTCTTGGGAAATGACAGCATTTGTACTGCCATCAAACAAGTAGAGCAGAATTGGCAGAGCAATGGAGGAAACAGGAATAGCATATTTTTTGATTATGGACAGGTCTACAAAACAATGAGAAGAGCTGGAATTGATCAACACAGAAACAGTATCAACAGAACAATCAAGAGTTACAGATGGAAGTAAAGAATTGGGACTAGAGAGAGTGGACACATTGAGTCAGATGTCTGGCTGCACACAGTTGGGATCAACACTTCCTCCAGGCTGTGCAAGCTCCCTGGAGGAGGCAGTGTTCCAGCCATAGCTGCACTGGCTTTGGCTGCACAAGAGGTAGACTTGGGACAGTCCTTAGTGGAGTGGCCAGCCTTGCCACAGAAGAGGCAGAGGTTGTTTTTCATCCTGTGCTGGCAATCAGTGGAGGTGAGTTTGCCATCCTTGCCCAGAAGGTGGGCAATGTCAGACTTGGACATGTTGGACTTGGGTGGATCTTTCTGTTTGCCCTTGCCCTTGACATCAGACTTTGGAGCAGAGGTGGAGGACAATGATTTAGCTTTACTGTCAGAGTTGGAAGACTGTGACTTGTCATTGGTGGACTTGGTGGTGTGCAAAATTTCTGCTGTATGTTCCCAGTAGCACACATCAACAGTCTGGGCAAGTTTGTGGAGTTGCACCAGAGTAGAAGGCTTTCTGACTTGAGCAATCCCATCTTTGATGCAGTTGTTAAGTATGGGTTTACCCTCAGGTGACTGGGCTTCAAGACCAGGTGACAGGGGCTAAGTCCAGGTGGCCAAAGTCAAGGCTGGGAGACAGGGGCCAAGTCCAGTTGGACCAGAGTTAGGGCCAGAGGTTGGGGGTTAAGTCTGGGGGACCAGACTTAAGACTGGGAGCACAGGAACAAGACTGGGAGCATGGGAAACTGACAAGTCTTGGAGTGCACACAGGGGGAAGCTGGTCCAGGGTTGGATCTACCTCCCTTGGTCTCAGCTTATGTGCTGTACCCTTATGCAAGCCAGGGAGAGGTCCAGGACAGGCATCTGCATGTAACAAGCTATCTATGCCATTGGTTGAACAATGACAACACATTTCCTAAGCATGTAGAGAGGGAGTAATGCTAATGGTGGAAATAGAGAGCTGTCAGATCAGAGAGAAGATGGCTTGAAGAGGAAAAGAAGTCCAACAGAACAAAACACAAGGTAAATGTATGGTGAAGTAAGGAAAACAGGGGTGAAACATAACAATACACCTCCTTATTGTCCTGATCTTTCATCTTGACTGGGTATTGCAAACAGGCAGGCACTCCTGGCCACACAGATAACAAGTGACAGAACTTGTTGATGTATGGTAGTGCAGTCAGCACATCAGTAGCACACAGGCCTAACTTGTGTGAGTCCTGCAGTAAAGACTCTGACCACATCATGAGACTGGACTCTCCAGGGAAGATGCTATAGAGGAGAGCCTGGTGGGTTAACCGCATTTCATCTGATGAAGTCCAGAGATTGGGGACAAGGGCCCAAATGAGCATGTAAAGCTCATAGTGGAAGTTGAGTTCATACAGTTCCCACAAAAGGGACCATATGAACCAGAGAGGGGGATTCAAGAGAGACAAAATTTTAACCTGCACAATGGATGGATACAGAGAGACAGAGCCAAAACAGATGTAATATTCACCTGCATTCCTTGCCATGTAATTTCCTCTGGTGCCCCTGCCAAACCCTGGGCTGAGTTAATGATACCTTCCCCCAAAAATATCCCATACAGCTGACTTCCTTAATGTGGTCTGTGTCAAGGGGAGAGGGTCAGTGTCAATAGTACAGTGGCTCACAAAATTGTCCCAATGTTTGCATGTTTTTCATTAATCATGGTGTAGTGAGTGAACTATCATTATTGAGTCCAAGGTGTTGGTGGATGGATCAAAGTGTCTGGTCATGGCTCTCTGATGAGCCATATTACATAATATTTGGATAGTGACTGATGACAAATTACCCAAATGAAAATGAGAGCTCATTGGGACAATTATGTAACTTTGTGATATGCTGGGGATGTAGTCCTTGGGAACACATATAAAACATGGTGAGATGCTCACCAATGCTTACATGATGTATCACATGGTCTACTGAATGATTTGTCAACAAACAAACAAAGCCAAACAGTGATTTTGCACTGCTAAACCTCCTTGCTGTAACACAAGTCAAGAAATCACTATTCTGGCTCATCAGGGACATTCTCTCAGGGCAACCTCAGCAAATTCTGGTGTACACTATAGTATAATCAATAGAATATGCCATCAGCACCATTGGTCACTTCACAAACCTGCTGGCAGTTATCTCCTGCACTGTTTCCCCACCAATACCACATGTGTCCTGGAACTAATCAGTACTGTGAGAGCTGAGAATGATGTGGAGGTCCAATCTTGCATTCATCCTATCATAAACAAACAAATCACCCATTAACTAGTGCATTTCTGTGAAGGGGAAACTGGTATGGAGGTCAGGGTGAAGCTAAACCCCCTCACACTCCAGGTACCATGGGGAGGGATATGCTTCTGAACCACCAGGTTGCACATTCCTGGCCTTCTATCTGGCACTGGATATTTTCTTTAGTCTTATATGACTAAATAACTCCTTCCCAGTGATCCCCAGTTCAGCTCAGAGTACAGTCAGGCCAACCCTCCCATGATACTGGGAGTGCCCAGGAGGGTTGTGCTTCACCTGAGCCTTCAGGCAGGCTTTTCTTCAGCTGTGATGTAGTAGTTAGCAGGTGATTTGTTTGTTTATGATAGGATGAATGCAAGATTGGACCTCCACATCATTCTCAGCTCTCACAGTACTGATTAGTTCCAGGACACATGGATGGGTTGCTTTGTTAGGGCCACCAAAGTATGTGAAGCTCTGTATTTTGCAGGGGTGCCCATCTGGCTCATTCATAGCAAAGAATATATTCCCCTGACTATGAACATTGTATGCTTGGTACAATTAACATACCCTGATGGTATTGTCAGGTCTATGTATACAGAAAATGGTGTGGCAAAGCCCTTCCCTTCCATCTGGCAAGGTCCAAGCAACACCCTCTGACAATACCATACCCACTGTGGCTATGAAGGTACCCTTGCTGATGTGCCTGAGCACCTACCCATATCATATCCTTCCTTGTCATGCCCATCCTCTAGTAGTGGGAGGCAGCCTACTACAAGACAATCCAGAGCTGCGAGGGACAGAGCCTCTGCAGGCCCTTCTCAAGGTATGTAATTCTCAGGTCTCCCTTTCCTTGTTTTTGACCACCTTGCAGCATTGTCATCAGCAGGTGGAGAGTCAAAATGGGAGGAACCTAACCTGCCAGATATTCCAAAACCCCATAGCATGTCTGCAGCTGCTTGGAGAGAAGCCAACAAGAATTCACAGAGAGTCTCATCTGGTCTCATGGACCCAGGCTATCACTTCCCAAAGCCAATGCTTTTCGTCAATGTGTCTACACCAGAGTGAAAGAAGATTTACCTCTTCAATTGGTTGTCTGCTCATGCACTCTGGATTAGTCAGGTTGATCTGCACTTGCCCTCAAGGTTCCCTTCCCCTCAGATGTGGAGGGACTTTTTGAATACTATCAACACTGACCCTCTCCCCTCAACACAGACTGCATTAAGGAAGTTGGTTGTACAGGATATTTTGGGGGAAGGTATCATTAACTCAGCCCAGGGTTTGGCAGGGGCACCAGAGGAAATTACATGGCAAGGAATGCAGGTGAATATTACATCTGTTTTGGCTCTGTCTCTCTGTATCCATCCATTGTGCAGGTTAAAATTTTGTCTCTCTTGAATCCCCCTCTCTGGTTCATATGGTCCCTTTTGTGGGAACTGTATGAACTCAACTTCTGCTATGAGCTTTATGTGCTTGATCGGGCCCCCATCCCCAATCTCTGGACTTCATCAGATGAAATGCAGTTAACCCACCAGACTCTCCTCTATAGCATCTTCCCTGGAGAGTCCAGTCTCATGATGTGGTCAGAGTCTTTACTGCAGGACTCACACAAGTTAGGCCTGTGTGCTACTGATGTGCTGACTGCACTACCATACATCAACAAGTTCTGTCACTTGTTGTCCACATGGCCAGGAGCACCTGCCTGTTTGCAATACCCAGTTGAGATGAAAGATCAGGATGATAAGGAGGTGTATGCTGTTTTTTCTCTGGTGTGTGGATTTTATGTGCAAACTGCATTTGACTTCTTCAGGTGACAACCATCCCTCCTGCACATGTTTCAATTTGTTTAGAATATATTTCTCTGCATGCAGTCTTGACAATTATGTAATACAATGTTTGGGCTGAATCATAATTGATGAAATTGTTTTTGGCTGAACCTTGATTTGAATTGTCCCAGATTCATATGCTCACTTTTTTCAGATAGTAAACTTCATTCATCTCCATCTGTGCCATTCACCTCCAGCAGACAGCTCTCTCTGTTCTTGTCATCACTTATCATGTCCTTGTTCCCAGCCATGTGCTTGTCTTGGCCTACATCACTGTCAAATTTTCATTTCAGCTGTGTAGCCACTCTCTCCTATTGTACTGACCCAGAGTCTGGTGACTTCATGTCTCAGACATTTAGTAGTGACTTTGTGTCACAGTGTTCAGTTACCAAATGGGAGTCCACCACCTGAAACCTTGGAGGAATCATGGTGCTTCCTCTTCCCAGCATCATGCATTGGATGATGGCTCTGACCTTGTAAGGTTTTCTCATCATTGTGAACTTCCTTATATTCATGTTGGCTTATCTTCCTGCAGAGTTCCTCCATCGCATCTCCTTCAACTAGTCAGATGCCCAGCATTGCCCCCCACCCCTTGACCTTGTCTGATCATCAGGCTTCATTTTGCTTTCCTCCACCCTTGGTATGTTGGATTTTGTCTGCAAAATATTTTTCCAATCAGTTTGTCTTCCCCACAGGGCCCCTCTGTCATACTGGCATCAACTAGTTGACTGCCCAACATAACTGCACTCCCCCCCCCTTGCTCTCATCCAATAATCAAGCATCCCTTTGTATTCCTTCAGTATTTGGATTTTACTCTCAAAATCAATCTTCGCATCAGCTTATCCCTACAGGGTCCCCCTGATGCATTGGCTTCAACTAGCTGGCTGGAGAGTGCAGTCTCAAACTCTCTTCCACTGACATCATCATCAGATACTCAGGTGATGCCTAGTCATTTCGTATGTCTTTTCCCTCTGGCAGAACTTGCACATACTTACACCTGGCTAGGACCCTCAGTTGTTGTTTGTTCCACATCCATCAGCTCATCACTGCTGGCCCTATGGTACAAAAGGACTCTACCTCCCTGCACCCCCACCTCTCTTCATCCTTCCAGGTCACCAGCACCTTGCACAAGATGCCAATGCTGTACCAGATCAACATCACAGCTCGCCTCCTTGCAGGTCTGATGTTTTTGATCTTGTGGATAGCCTTCATTTCAGTGAGGAGGTCAGTTCTCCCTTGGGCCTGAGCAGTGTGCAGAAGTGACAAAACCAATGGTGACAGTGGTCACAAGATGTCATCCCTGTGCTTCTGAAGCCCTACCTGTGGTACCTCCAAGCATCACAAAGCCTTTGGGTGGTGGTAGATCCCCCAGCTCACCATCTAAGTGGATGTCCCACCTGTGTGGTGCATTTACTCACTGTTTGCTGTCTTTTCTTTGACCATATGTGACCCCATCATTGTGCTTATGTCATGCTCACACATACCAGGTTTGGAGGAAATTGAGATAAGCTATTGTGCATGTACCCCAGCTCCTATACACCTCATGGGACATGGTCTATTTGCATGTTACCCTATCTCTCCCACTCTTGCAGTTGATCTTTGAGTGTTGGAGTTCATGAGGAAACTCTTTGTGCAGTTGACCCCCAACACAACTGCATGGTGTGAAGCACTTGAAAGTTTTCTAGATGCCCAAGGGTACAAGCTGCAGTCCAAGGTATGTTGTATTCATAGGATAATCATTATATTATCTGTCCCCCTTATGTGCTCCCATACCACACACACCCCTTATATATTGTCCTATTGAAGTACCAATATCTACTAGTTAAACACTTCTATCTATCTCTTCATGGCAATATAAGGGATTCTTACCATACGATCATCAGGATAACCTTCGATGATGATTCAGCAATGCATACCATGGGTATACTGTGTTAACAATATACATGGAGGACCATATTACTGGCCTGGTTCACTCCTCCCAAGCCTCTGTTCAACAAGACACTAGGTCTCAACCAAGTGACTACCTACATGCTTTCTGTCCACTATGTTTTGGGGGAGGTGTGCCACAGAGAGCTAATGCTGAGCAGGATGAGTGAGTCAATGGAAAGTTTATTGATGCCAACCTAATTCTGACCTCCAAAAGCCTTGGCTGCATTGTCTGCTTGGATGCATGTGTCACCCAGAAGCAAACAAATAAGGACTCTACTGGCCATGACCCTTCCAATCCTACCAACACTGTATTCATTCCTAAATCAGAGGTGAAGGTGATGGAAATTTTCATTGAGAAACAGCAATCTCTTCCATCTGATCACCATCATTCTTCACCTCAAAAACAAGGGGACAGTTTTGAGGATGGGATGAGAGTGCCCATCTCAGTGCTGGATGGGTGTGGGGATTCTTTCCATGCAGCAGATGAAAAGTGTGAGAAAGCAAGCACCCACTTTTTTGCAGACACAGGGCTGATGGCTTTGCTTTGTCATGATGATCATGTTCTCTGGCTGGTCAATATGACATCTGCAGGAGAAAAGCAGCACTATGCCTTGGTGCTATTGAAACATCTCTTTGAACATCTGCCTACCACCACAACTGTTGGCCTCCTATATGACATTGGCTGTCAACTGGAATGTAGTTGCCACAAGTGGAAGCTACTTGATGAGGGGATACTCTCCAGGTTGAAGTTTGGCATCTCTGTTTTCCATGCTTATGGTCATCAGTGGCCATGTCAGATAGTATATCACCCACATAAATGTGTGGGCTTTGGTTTGTCAGATGGTGAGGGGTGTGACCAGTTATGGAGTTCTCTGAAGATGCTCATTCCTATCCTCCAGGTGTCTGGTGTAAGCATCCATATTCCTGTAATATGATTCCAATGTCAATTTCCTCCTTAGTACCATCAGAGGCTATTTGTTCTTGATAATCAGATTTGTCACTTTGACAAGAAGTCATTTACTGCTCTTGGCCAGTGGCTGAACAAAAAGTGGTCCCTCTGCAAAAGCAAGAAAACAATGGCTTTGGGGGCCCTCCATGCATTGCATGTTGACATGCAGACTCTACAAGAGGAGTGGGCTGCACAGGTGCACTCACAGACTCAGCCTCTACCTCATTAGTCTTTTTCCTATGTTTGCCATCATGTTGCTCACCATACACATATAGGGCAGTCAAAGAAGAATGGTGCTGAACAGTTGGCACTTATACTTGCCCTGGAAAAATCTGTTCAGAACCACCAGAGCCATGTGGATCAGCTGGAAATGGATCTTCACAATGATTGTGTCAATGACATCATTGACTTCAATTTACAACTTACTGCAGCACAAGCTTCACTCTCAAAGCCAACTCAGGCTTTGAGACAAAAAAAAAAGTGCATTAGGAGTCTCAGCACAAACTGACCTCTATCTCCTGAGGAACAACAAGTGGCTCCAAACCCAAACTAATGCACAGGCACTGAAAGTTTGAATTAGGGAGTGCCTTCATCAGCACAAGTTTGAATTTGAGTGGCTAGAACAGTCATCCAAGAACTCTGTTAATGGTAAGTAGAGGGTGTTCTTTCTGCCTGCTATTTTCAATAACATCTGTAGTAGAAAATAATTTACAGTCACATGTGAAGTCATCCATAAAATGATGAGAGCCTGCCATATCAAAACTTGTCACTAGCTACATCACCCTCTGTGATGAGCTTATGGGTATGATACAACTTGGGAAAGCACCCCCTGGTGCAATTTCCCCTTTCCCCATACCTCCTAAGGGAATTGTTCAACTGGAGGTTGACAGTGATATTTGGCAGGATGTGGGACTTGCAGAGGGTTGTGCTAATCCCCCATCTTGGCTTGCTGATGAAGGTGTGCATAAGGGAATAAGGCTCATGCTAGAAGTTGATAGTTGTAACAAAGAAGAAAGAATATTGTCAAGAGAGCAGTCTGCCTTGCAGGAATGGTTTTCTGTGGAGTGGCAGAGTGTCCAGGTGACCTTGGAACATGCAGGTGAGTTCAAATGTCATTGTCTTGTCACCATCTCACAATAGTTAGACAAATCTTACAAGTATCACCTGCAATCACTGAGGGATAACCTTTTGGCAGTATAGCATTGATTCCATCTAGACCTTGGGGACCCAGAGCAGAGGAAATTGCAGGTTGCCTTGTGGCTGCTAACAATCCCAGTGTAATATCTGCAGCAGAGGATCAAACAGAAGGATCATTAAAAGACTATGACTCTGATGGGGAGGGGTTGATGTCAGAAGGTGATGATAACCTATTATTATCCATTGAAGAGATGACACTGGAAGAGGAATATTCCATGGGGGAAGCAGATGAGGAGCAATCCACAGAGGATGAGAAATGGTTGCAGGACATTGAAAATGGTTATTTGCCCTCTTCACCAGTGAAATTGCCATTAAAAAGATGGAGATACTAGACTTTGTATACATATATTGAATGTCTATAAATTAGAGAATCACCCCTGCTTTATCTTTGTGATTTTGTGACTGATCATATATCCCTTCATTGCCCCTCACAATGTGTCCAGGCTCATTGTTCATACTAATGCAATCAAAATTGAGTGCACCACAGTGAGTGAGAAATGGTGCTATTTAACAGTTATACTGAGTGCATATATAGCAGAAAAGAAGCAGAGGATCCAGGAGGGTATTGATGATGCATATCATGACCACTTGAAGAGGCCCAGCATGTCCCACCAGATTTCTGGATGCAACAATGGGACAAATTTGATGCATGTCACCAAGAGGGGGCACTCAGTCCCTGATTTCTTGAGGAAGCTACAGGAAGTAGCTGACACTGTTGGTGATATTAACAATCAGGACATCATTCTCATGTTCTGGAGACATTGCCAACCTTACCTGCATGCTGAACTCACCAAGAGCAGCTATGATGCTACCACCATCTCAATCATAACCTTTGAAACTGAATGTGTGAGGTATAAGAAAGCCAAACATGTTATCAATGAGGATTGCAGCCACAAGCCTCAGCAATCATGTGATCAAAGATACACACACAGGCAGAGTACAAACCATCTTAGCACAGCTGCTGTAGAGACTAACAGAGCACCAGATGCAGGAAACACTCCTAATAACAACAATAATAGTGTGTGATGGCCCTCAAAGGACCAGGACCACCATCATTGAAAAGATCAGAGTGTCGAGAAAGAGCAGAAGAAGTGCCTTCGCACAGAAGGCAAGTGTTTCAATTGCAAAGGTACAGACCACCTGGAACAGAACTGCCCCAAGTGCTGGCAGACCCAGGACAAGTGGAAGGGACTGCACATCCATCTTAATACCATCAACATGTCCCCTGCTGAAGCTCAACTCACAGCCATTAAAGAAGGGACTGAGCTCGGAATTTTCGCACTAGGAATCACACACTCAGAGACACCTGAACTCCTGCAGTCAGAATGAGATGACCTTAAGGCACATGCAGCATCTTTGCTACACACTGCTGTACCCTTGACTCTTGACCAGGATATTGATCCAAACAATTCCCCATACCAGCAAGATTGATTCACTATTGAGGACCATGGTGGCCCAGACACATACCTACTGATGGACTGCTACACCCTTGACAACCATATCTTATACTACAAGGATCTCATAAACCCAGAATTCAACATTGTACATTGGCTCCACCTGAAGAAAACCAAGTACTACAATGAATTAATCTTCAACAAATGTGAGATGAGATGGCATGGGCCCCCTCCTGTAATTCCAGATTGCCTAAAGTCCATGTCAGATGGCACTGAAGCCTTGACTTGTAGGGCAGTATGAACAAGCTCTCCTGATGGGGATTGCACTGATGGAACCAACATGCTTGAATGCAGTGCTGCACACATCAAAGGAGCCACATGTCTCCTCCTGAAACCAATTATTGTTGTAGTCTGCATTAATGACAAGCCATGTCAAGCACTGCTTGACTCAGGATCACCTTCTGACTTTGTCTCTACCACACTTGTAGACCAACTACAACTTCTTCTTGATCTACTCAAAAAACCCTTGAACCTCCAGCTTGTGGTCTCAGGATTGCACAGAAAGGTCAAAGCAACCACAACACCCTGGATCTTGTACCAGAATATTCATGAGAAGTGTGTACTGGATGTCACAAACCTCAACTCATATGACCTAATCTTAGGTATGCCATTCCTATTTCAACACCAAGTGTTACTTGGGTTTAACCCATCTCAGATCACTGTTTGCAGCAATAACTCACTGCCAGTTTGAGGACTGCAAACAATTGCACTTGAGTCATGTGCAGCCAAGCTGCTGGCAGATGAAAAGGAATGGTGCCAAGAGGAACTAAGAGCATATGTGAGGGATATATGCAAAGAAGCCATTGGAACCCTCCTTCCCCCTCTCTGTGATATTAACCATGTTATTCCATTGATTGACAAAAATAAAGTATATTCATGGCAACCATCTCATTGCCCTGAACCTCTTAAGCCCCTTTGGCACTTGAAGTGTGATGAGTATATTTGAACCAGACATTGGGAGTTCAGCAGCAGTACAAATGCAATCCCAATGCTAATGCTAAAAAAGGCCACAAAGGATGGATTACTAAGACTATGAATGGTAATAGATATGAGGGAATGAAATGCAAATACCAGGAAACTAGCATCCCCACTACCAGACATGGAGGCAATCCTCTGCAACATCATATCTCACCCCTATGGGTCCCTGCTCAATGACAAGGGTGCTTATGAGCAGATCCACATCACTCCTGAGGATGTTCCCAAAATGCTATTTACAACACCCAATGGGACCATGATCAGTCATGTAATGCAGATCAGCAACTGCAATGCAGGCACAACTTATTAGTCATTAATGAACCACATATTTGCACCATACATAGGAATCTTCATGGATGTCTACCTAGATGACATAGTGATCTACTCTGACTCACTCAAAGAACATGTAAAGCATGTTAAAATTGTCATTGACACTCTGTGAAGACACAAATTCTACCTAAGTGAACACAAACTGCAGTTTTTTATGGATGAATTACAAATCCTGGGACATGTGATTGATGCAGATGGTATTAAAATGGACCCTGACAAAGTAGATAAAATCATTAATTGGAGAACACCCACTAACAAGACCTACTCATGGGCTTCATCAGAGCAGTCAGGTATCTTGCACCTGGATGCAAAGGTGTTTGCATACCCCTTGGGCACCTGCACAAGACAGCAGCAGCCAACACTCCTTGGCACTGGTCATTCACAGAACAATGGGCATTTGATTTAGTAAAGGAGTTGGTACATATGCATTGCAAGATATGATGAACAATGCTAGGACATGCCCCAATAAACTTGTCTTGTGATGTGGTGCCTGTCAGGTGGAAGCAGTGTAATTTGGCAGGGAGAAACTATGGAAAAAGGGAACATTATCACATTTTGGTCTGGTAAATTTAACCCAGCCCAACAGATTTACCCCATGCATGAACAGGAACTATTAGCTATAGTTGAGTCATTGAAAAGATTCCAACACTTACTGCAAGGCACAAAATTCCACATATTCACTGACCATAAAGGACTTGAATGGATCCAGACACAACAAAAGCTGTCCCCATGGCAGGCTAGGTGGCTCAAAACATTGGGCAACTTTGATTTTGAGATCATACATATACCAGGCAAGATGAATGTCATCACCAACACACTGAGCTGTATATACTCAGATGAACCTAAGGGGATGGTATGATCAGCCTCAGAATATGTCAGTGCTGAAAGAGGAGCATGCACCTTCAATGCTGCTACTGAACTTGATTACCACCCCACTGTACATGGGCTCACCCATCTTCCTGGGAGCAACAAGGTGTCAGTCTAGTGCACAGGAAGGATTCCCTAATGTGAAGTGAGTGATCCTGAAGTTACCTGGTGACCCAACATGATCACTGGAGGGCAGGAGTATGCCAAAGCCTGACACATCACCTGATGTGCCAACAGCCAAGACACCTGCCAAGACAAAAATACCTATGACACATGTTGACAACAGTCCAGGCAATGACATCATGGCTGACACACCCAGTGAACAGGTACCAACCTCATTGCCTGAATTGGTCACCATGGCAGAGTCAGACTTAGACATATGTGAGGACATACACCATCAATATTATAAGGATAAATTCTTTATTGACATTGTTAAAAACCCTAAGAACTACAAAAATTTTGAAGTAGACAACAGTCTGATTTACCTGAAAGACAAAGGACAGCAAATTCTTTGTATTCCTGATATAAGCATAGGTTCCTGCCACTTATGCAAGATCTTGATCTCACACACACATTCAATCTTAGCACACCTTGGGCCAGGGAAAACCACCAACTACTTGCAAGACAACATATGGTGGAAGGGTATCAATTCTGATGTAGATGAATTCTGTAAATCCTGTACACTATGTCAGACCTCTAAGTCCAGCAATCATCCCAGCTATGGACTATTGGAGATGCTAGATGTCCCTACCTACCCCTGGGAAACCATTGGAATTGACTTTGTCAGCCCTTTGCTGGAATCATGTACACTCAATGGAACCTTCGATATGACACTTGTCATAATTGATTACCTAACTGTCATGGTACACCTTGTCCCTATGAAACAGACTTACCATGCCAAAAGACATTGCGAGGTAATGTTTGACAGAGTGTACAAGCACCATGGAATGCCTTGGAATATTATCAGTGACTGAGACTCACTATTTATGAGTACATTCTGGAATAAACTAAATGAGCTGACAGGCACTGCACTAAGAATGTCATCAAGCTTTCATCCACAGACCAATGGAATCACTGAGCAGGCCAACCACACCTTCACTCAGATGCTACATGCATGCATATCCCCAAACCAGAAAGACTGGGCATTGAAACTACCAGCAATTGAATTTGCAATGAACTTGGCTCAGCCAGAAACTACCAGGTTTACCCCATTTATGCTAAACTACGGGCAGTCACCAAGATCCATGATCTGGGAAACCAACTCAGAATTCCCCAGTGTAAGAATATTTGCCCAGTGCATGAAAAATGCCATTATGCAAGCCCATGATTCAATTATTGCTGTGTGTATAAAACAAACTACTCTGGCAAACTGGAAACATAGGGACATGCCATTTGTTAAAGGTGACTTAGTATACCTATCTACAGCCAACATAGCATTACCTAAAGGGCATGCTCGAAAACTCACACCTAAGTTTATCAGCCCCTATAAGATCTTAGATGACTACCGGAACAACACATTCCTGCTTGATTTGCCAAATGACCTCAAACAGCACAGCATGCACCCCACCTTTCATGCCAGCCTGTTACATCTGCATGTCCCTAATGATGATCAACACTTTCCCAGGCAACAACTCCCTCAAATAATCAGCCTTGGGAAAACCAAACACCTCTTGGTCAAGTGGATTACAGATCACCATGGAAGGGGG